GCGCCGCCCGGGCCCGGCGAGGGCCGCGGGGAGCAGGCGGCCGCGACCACGCGGAGAGCGGACCTGCGTTGTCGGGAGGAGGGGGACGACGCGCCCGGGACACTCACCCCAGCGCCTCCAGAGTATCCAGCACGTCCCACTCCATCGCAGGTCCCGGCCCTGGCTCCGGCCCTCTCATGGTCCTCCGGCCTGAAGCCTGTCCGGCGCTCAAACGAGCCCGCCGGAAACGGGCGTCCCCGCGCCGAGGTTCCGGTCTGCGCCTCGACCGTGACGTCACCGCCCCGGGCGCCTGCGGGTCCCAGCCTGAGAGCGCGGACTCCGAGAACACCTAGGAACGCTTAGCTTGCGCTTTTTTTTTCACCCACCAAGATTATAAATAATATATATTATATATAAATATATGTATATAATAATAGAAATAAAAAGGCCTTTTCAAGCTTTGGCCTTTATCCAAGGGTTGGTGCCAATCTTAGCAATGAACCACAATTCTGTGTTCTCAATTTTATCAGACCTGTGTTAGGAAAAAATGTCCTGAGATCTAATTGTTTAAATTAGTTTAAATTAGTTTGGCATCTCCTTAAACATATAATTTTTTAAAAATCAATATACGTGACCACGTGACAAATTTGATATAAAGAGGAAATAAGGTCGTTTATAATCAATACATTGTTTAATTACAAAATACAGATGAAGAGATCAGATGCTTACATCTATCTGTGGGATCCCTGTACATACAGGTGGAGGCCATGTGCTTTTGTTTGTTTTGTTACTGACAAGTAGATGAATTGTATAGGTAAGAAAGGATCGTAGCAGTTAAGAGACAAGGTGGTTGAGATTTTCCAAATAGTGAATAACACTCTGTAAAGTTTTGAACAAAACACATTCCTTCTGTGTTCCAGTTCGGGAGAACTCTGTATTTATTAAACCATGTAAAAACAGTCTGTTTTTATATAGAAAAGAAAGTCAGAATTGGATTATAGCAGGCTCATCACCTTCATGAGTATCCAAAAACTGTGCAGAGTCTCGTATTACCTGCAGTAATTACCTGCAGTAATTGCAGGTCAGAAATGCAGTGAAAAGGAGCCCTGGTAGAGCTGTTGGACTGTTAACCACAAGGTCAGTGGTTCAAACCCAACAACCACCATGAGGGGAGAGGAATAAACTGTCTGCTGCAGTGCAGTAAAGATTTACAAAACCTGGTCATTTTGAGTTGGAATTGTCTGAGGGCAGTGCATTTGGTTTGGGGTAACGCAGTGATAGTTAGCTATGTTCCCCCAGGTCCTTTATCATCCCAGGGGGGAAATTGTCCATATAAGGAAAATTCCCTGGGAGAGGGAAGGAAAATAACGTCTGCTCTACCCTTTTATCCTCAAAACCAAGAAACCAAACTCACTACCGTATCCAGTTGATTCTGACTCACAGCAAATCTATAGCCCAACTGACTCCGTGAGTTTCTGAGACTATAAATCTTTTTTATGTTTTAGTTTCCTTGATATCTTATTCACAAACCATACACTCCATAGTTAAACCACTACTAAAAGAGAATTGTATATATATCATCACAATCAGTTCTAATGCTCCCTCCTCCCTCCTGCACCCACTATCGCTCCCGATTCCCCTCCTCCCTTTCCCAATAAACCAGTGCATCAGTTATTATCTCTGTACATCCACTCCCGTGCTTCCTAACCTGGAACACCTAACTGAAACAATAACAAACGAAAACAAAATGAAACAGAAAGAAGAAGATGGTAAAAACATAAAGAAAAATCAACAATATTTAAAGAGGCAGAGAAGAAATTTCTGTCGTGGAATAATGGAGAAATCTTTGAGCATAGAACAAATCCAGGCTGGTTGAGAGAGGTCAACTGACCGAGTATCTTATTACACCATGGTTAGATTCACCATTATCAAGTTTACCATAATCTCTGTCTGCTGGAAAAGCTGTCGAGTCCCTCACCTGGGACTAAAGGGCATTTGCCAGAGGTCTGACCCAAGCAGACACTCTGCAGATGGATTTTGGGTTCCCGCCATCCCCCATAGTCTTCTTCCACAAATTGGGTGTTCCCAGTTTAAGCGTCGATGCTTTTCCCTCATCATATTTGGATTTTGTTATTATCTTCTTTGGATCACACAGGCTAATAGTGTGCTTCTTCGATGTGTGCTTAGTTAACACTTCACTTAGATGGCTGTTTGTTTGAATACAACCCTTTAAGACCCCAGGCACTATTCCAATTGTTTGCCTGGCATGATTTGCTTTCTCACCACACTTGTGGTAGCACCCTTCTCTCCAGGGATGTCTTCAGAAAGGCGAGAGCAGGGGTACGTTTTAGGAAGGAGCTGCTCTTGAATTCAGGGCAGGCTAGAATTGCATAGGAGCTCAGAATCCATCTCATTGTTCCTGGGTTCTGAATGACTGTGGTTTATGTTGGCTGTGGTAGTTACATAATCTGGTGCCAATTTGAGACTACTAAGAGTGAAGGGGTGGAATCTAGCTTGTCAATCAGGTCACAGCTTGATGACCTCATCTGGAGGTGCCACAGAGATAAATAGCTCCCTAGAGGCCAGATACACACAGACTCTCTGCTTGATATTCCTGTTGACAAGCCACATGGAGCCACACTGATGACAGCCAGAGCCCTGGAGCTGAAGGAGCCAGGTGGAGACCCGTACTAGTGTTGAGGTCCTTCTACCACCACCACTGGATCTACAAGACTTTCCATCCACTGGCCTGTGATCTTCCTGCATTCAGCATTATTGCATGGCTGTGTGAGTCTAAAGAGGAATTTATGGACTAGTATTGGACATAGGGGCTCACATTGGACTTATGGACTTGATCTGGACTGGGCTGGGATGGTTCTCAATACACTATTGCTCTTTTCTGATACACGTGAATGTCCATGAATTTGTTTCTCTAGTCTACCCAGACTAACACATGGACAGTCATACTATGACAAAAACAATAAACAAAACCACAACCCAAAAGATCAACAATTTAAAAAAATTAAATGCCACCCTCCCAATAAAAGAAAAGTAAAAAGAAAAACATTGTCAATCATCCTCTTAGGGGATAAGGTGATTGCATTGATAACATCAATAATTTATCCAATGACAGAATTTAAGGTACTATTGATATAAGGAGTTTATGCTAGTATAGTCCAACTGAGAGCTGAAATCCATGAGATGTTGCTTTGTGCTGATCGATTTCTTAATTGACTGAGCTTTGCTTGCATTGAGAATGGTGATTGGTGCTGGGGGAAATTTCCTGCATTATCTTTCACAAGGGGAGTCCCTTGCCTCTCAGACTCAAACCTGTCATATTAATGCAAGGGGAGCATTGAGGCACCAAATATATGGTGGTTCAGGGTCACCTGTCATTGGACACCCACTAAGCCAGGGGTCCCCCCCCAAGGTCTAACAACTGCCCTTTCCACTTATACTGTTAACCTTTCCAAAAACAGAAAGCCTCATCTTGCTCCCACAGAGAAGCTAGTGGTTTTGAGCTTCCAACCTTGCAGTTAGCAGCCCAACTGTACCCCCACAAACTCAAACTTCAAATTAGCCACAGAGAAAGCTATCTGAATTCACATCCCTGGCCTGGCTCTTGCCTACCTCTCTGCAAACTCACCTACCAACACCCTCCCCACCTTTCACAACTCTGGTCTTCAGCAAGTTTCTCTGTGAAGTTATATGTCTCTAGTTGCCAGAGAGTACTCAGTAATTGTTTGTGGAACAAATCGACAGAATATAATAGCATCCAGAGATATATTGTTTTGGAGTTTGTGAATATTATAAAACTTTTGGCTACAATCAGTATCTCCAACCATTGGTGGATATTAACTATGGCTATTCTCAGATTTCATTCAGATGAATTGTACCCTTATCAGTAATAACATGGGTCAAATAGTATGGATGAGATCAAGCTGGCAAAAGCAGAGCATTAAACCAAGCCCAGATTCCTTCTAAGACAGATTCCTGTGTGACCCAGCAAGTCACATGCCTATCAAGCTAGGCTTCTTGGACCCTCCAAAAGGCCAAGAAGTGGTTATAAACGCCAAGAGGCACTAATTCAAAAATTACACAATGCTGTATCAACCCAGAGAACATAGCTGGTTGATTAAAAAGAATAGGCTTAGATACAGTCAGAAAAAAATAGTCTCTATATTCAAACTTAACATCGTGACCCAGGAAGAGTTGCACAAGTTGCTGAGAACAGTTGGGTCCCCATGACTCTGTGATGTGTAGGATATTCAAGAACGATTTGTACTGAAGATCACACCAACTGGAGAAAACAATCAGTGTAACATGCTTTTAGGCACTTAAACAACACAAGACTCTTGGCAGGTAGAATAGCAAAACTGTACTAAGACCACGGGAGTCCTCGGGTGGCATAAATGCTTAAGCATTCAACTGTTTGCCAAAAGGTTCACAGTTCCCACCCACCCAGAGGCACAGCAGAGGAAAAGCCTGCCACTGTGCTTTCAAAGGGTCTTTAAAACCCCACAGAGCACAGTTCTAGTCTCATGGATCACAATGAGTTGGAAACAAACTCCATGTACCAACTACCACCCCCGTCAATATCCAAGGGGATTAGGAAAAGTCTGTGGGGAAAATTCCATTCTCTCTTATTCCATTTGGATGATGAGCGTTTTGAAGGCTCTTTGGATAGTTACTTCGCAAATGACTGGAGTGGGACCCACGTCAAAGCACACCTTGGTGTTTCCATTAAGCCCTGATAGGGCTACAAGCATCTCTTGAAAGCTCTTTATCGCGAATGCAACAGGTGAAATGTGTTTGAGTGTTTGCTTTCCTTGAAACGGGGAGAAAACACCT